GTGGATGGATTCTTGTGAGAAGAGCTTTCAAGAATTGAAACGAAGGTTAGTTATGGCCACGGTACTAACCATTTCGTCCGAAAGTTGAAAATTTCATGGTATATAGTGACGCCTTTAAAAATGGATAAGGAGCGATGTTAATAAAAATGAAAAAGTAGTAACTTATACATCATAAGAACTAAAGAAATATGAATAAAATTATCCAATGCATGATCCGGAGTTAGCGGCAATAGTCTTTACCTTGAAAATATAAAGATATTATTTATATGGAGCAAAAATGTGAGATATACACGGACCATAAGAGTTTATGGTATATTTTCACACGAAGGAGCTAAACATGAGGCAAAGGAGGTAGTTAGAGTTGGTGAAAGACTATGATTGCCTATTCAACTACCATCCGGGAAAGGCCAATGTTATTGCTGACGCTTTAAGTAGAAAATTGGTAGCCACAATGCAAGTAATCCGGTTATCGATAGTGAGGGATTTATAGAAGTCTGGAATTAGAGGTAATCCCTATAGGCCATGGGAGTGTCATGTCGGCTTTGTTAGTCTAGTCGACCCTACAAAAAAGAATTCAAGTAGGGCAACAAATGGAAGAAAAGTCGAAGGAACGAAAGAAAAGTGTGAAGGTTGGGAAGGAGTCTAACTTTGTTATTGATGATAAGGGAGTGATCAAATTTAGGAAAAGATTATATGTTCCTTTGATGGTAGACTTGAAGGAAGAAATATTGAGAGAGGCACATGCGTCTCCATACTCGATACATCCGGGGAGCACTAAAATGTATCGGAATTTGAAACAATATTATTAGTGGTCGAAAATGAAGAAGGACGTGGCAAGTTATATGGTAAGGTGTCGGACTTGTCAACGAGCGAAAATGGACCATCAAAGGCCCACGGGAGCATTAAAACCATTGGCAATTCCAAAATAAAAATGGGAGCATATCACTATAGATTTTGTCATGGGATTGCCAAGATTGGAAAAGGGGTCGGATGCAATTTGGGTGATCATGGACGAGTTGACCAAATCGACACACTTCCTTCTAGTTAAACCACTTATAGCTCGAGCTAGTACGTTCGATTGTATATAAATGAAATTCGAGGCTACATGGGGTTTTGATCTCAATTGTGTCGGATTGAGATCCTAGATTCACCTCAACATTCCGAAAGAGTTTACATAGGGCCATAGGGGCAAGGCTAAACTTCAACATGGTTTACCATCCGCGAGACGGATGGATAATCCGAACAAGTCATTCGGATTCTTAAAAATATGTTACGAGCGTGCATTCTAGATTAGTCTAAGAAATAGGAGAAATATTTATGACTAACGGAGTTTGCATATAATAATAGTTATCAATCGTCAATCGGGATGACTCTTTACGAAGCTTAGTAAAGACAATGGTGGAGATCCTCAATACACTAGGATGAAGTAGGGGAAAGAAAGTTATTAAGGTCGGAATTAGTGCAACAAATGACTAAGGTAGTGGATAAGATTCACCACTGGATAAAGATGGCCCAAAGTAGACGGAAAAGCTACGCCGATAAGAGGAGAAAGGATCCGGAGTTTGCGGTTGGTTACTATGTTTTCTTAACGGTTTTACCGATGAAAGGCATACTGTAATTTGGGAAGAAAGAAAAATTGAGTCCGTGATTTATTGGACCATTTGAGATACTTGATCGGGTAGGCGATAAAGCGTATCGTATATTGCTACTCGTCATCTTTAGTGAAAGTACATAATGGGTTTCATGTGTTCATGTTAAGGAAATGTATTGGAGAACCTAGCTAGATTCTAGAGATAGCATCATCGAACCTAACCCCGGATTTAACATATGAGGAAAGACCAATCCGGATTCTAGATAGGCAAGTCAAAGAACTAAGGAATAAAGAAACTGTCTTAGTTAAAGTTTTATAGGAGAATCATAACCTCAAAGAAATGACACGGGAACGAGGAGGAAAAAATGATAGATAAATACCCAAAGTTATTCCAATAAGCCAATTTCAAGGATGAAATTTCGTTTAAGGAGGGGAGAAATATAACCCTTATGAATATCCTTAACCATATAGTTATACGTACTAGAATATTTATATATGTCTATACTAAATATAGGTATGATTTATGTGCCATTTTAATATTTTGTGATGTTAACATGCTTAGTGTTTATGTGAGGATTTATGGCATGAACATATATTTAGAATGTACCATGAAGTGAGAAAAATTATCTAAAGTTATGGAGAGTGTTGAAATTTAGGAATTGCCTAAAAATTAAATGACTGTCGAAATATTAGGGAGAGAAAGGTAACTCTCATGAAAATTCTTAACCTTATAACTATATAGCCCGGAATAGCTATATATACATATATTAGATCCGGGTGTACTTAATATGACATTTTCTTTTATATTTTGTGGTATTAAAATATCTAATGTACATAGGAGTGTTTATGGGAATAAACTTTTAGGTATTTAGCTAGCTATTATTTATTTTTCCGTAACATATATATGTAAAAATGCCATGTAAGTGAAAGAATTACCTAAATATGGTAAAAATACCGAATTATTGGAACCAAACTTGCCTTAGAAATTTGGTTATTTTAGTTACCCTTTAGTTACCCATTTTTAGTTACTAATTGGACGCCTCATCTTCCACCATGTTCTAATTAGTGACACTTAGCAATCTTTGACTTCAAACCCACCACCTTACTTCAATTTTCTCCCTTGCTTTACACTTTGTAACCATAAAAGTAAGACGCATGTTATACTAATTAATGAGAAGAAAAAGGTGGAGTATATAAGTGTGAGAAAGAGTTAAACTTAGCCATTTTTTTAGGAACAAAACCATAGCATACTAAAGAAAGAAAGGAAATAGGATTAAGAGGGAAGAAAAAAGAAAAGAGAGAAAAAGAAAGAAAGAAGAAAGGAAAAAGGGAAAAGTTAGGAAATCTTTAGGAAAGCTTAAATCAAAGAAAGTAGGTTTATGTTGCATTATGTTATGCCCTAAATTTCATTTATGTGTGCTTAAATTAGTTAGTTGTTTAAAGCTTTCCATTATGTTGTTATGGGTTATGGGTTATGCATATTAGTATTTTGTGTTTGATGGTTTGATGTGAAATTAATGGTTGGATTGTGTATGTGATGATGAATGGTATGTTTATGTATCCATATCTTATGTATACCTAAGTATGTATTGATGGGTTTGGTTAAAACAAATGGGCTTGGACTAAAGTTTGAATGGATTAAACCATGGTGGACATTCATTCGGCCTAGGTACTAAAATGGCCAAAGTTTGGATTGTTTTTAGGTAACTAAAGATCTAGAACTCAATGGTAACCTAATTAATTTTAGATGAGTAAGTTAGGATGAAAAGAAATTACATAGAAGCAAAAGAAAATCCCTTGCCACTTTTAAAACCCATTCAGCCCTAAACCAAAAATTTGGGGTTTGAGTTCCAATCATCCAACTTGATAATTAATAATTCAAATGCACCTAAATAAGTATAGATTAAAGTGTAGAAAGGTTAGATTCCAAGAAACATGGAAATTTTGGCTTAGACTAGAAAACATTCGACCTAAACCTAAAAATTTGGGATTTTGAGCTACAATCATCTAATTTCATAATTAATGGTCCAGTTACACTCGAATAAGTATAAAATAAAGTGCTTGGAAGGTAAGATTTCAAGAAAAATCAAAATTAGGTCCTAGACCTACTAGAAGCTAAATTCAGCTATTAAGGCTAAATTTTGGGTTAGGAATGAAATCCTACTTTAAAGGCGCTGAAATGCATTCCTAGGACTAAAATATAGGAATTGATTAACCCTAATGGGTAGGTCTAGTATTCTTTGCATGACTACTATCAAAAATATATGAAATCCTAAGCATGGATTAGATTCCGAATGTGGTATGGAAATGAAAGGTTTGATACCCATGGTTGGTGGAATATGGTAAACGAAACATCACCCGCATCATATGCATTTAGGGATGGATCGACTTGAGAAAACAATTGAGTCAAGAAATGATGGGGTTTGGTAACCGGATTGGTTTGAAATTGGATAGGTTTTGTAACCTAACCGAATTAAATGGGTATTAGCAAAGAAGTCTGTGTGGGGCCTCTATTAATTGATTACATCGTTAGGTGATAGATAATTCCACTATCCGCGTGCTATAATGAGGGATAATTCATTGCTAGCAATAGGTTATTTGGAAATCATGGAGAAATGAGAATAGAGCATACTTGCTAATATGTAGGGAACCCGAATTAAAATCAACGAAGAAAGGCTAAGTGATAGGACGACACTACATCTCATGTGCATCACCCTACTTATTGAGCTTCGGCTCATCCCGTTGTTATTTCATGCCATGATAGGTAAAGACAATGGTAGTGCTGATAAAGAAGCCACCGGTTCCTCCCAAAAAAGGGCTCATGTGTAACATGAAAAAACATAAAATTTTCTTTTGATTGTAACAAAGGGTACGGTGTTTAGGAGTGAATAAATAACACCTTAAATATTTTATGACTTCGTAATAGTGTTCATTAATTGGATTGCTATTATTATTTATTGGTCATGTATTATAGGAGTAAATTGAGACTTTAGTCTCTAAACCGTAACGCACCTAACCACACCTCTTAGGTAATTGGTAAGGGAGCTAGGGACGTCACAATTTTCATAAGGCTTTAATTTTCCCGAAAAATCACGAACTTTATACTTTTTAATTATATTAGCTCGTTCTTTTAATTTTGGATAGAAAAATCATGAACTAAGCTTTTGATAATAATACTAGCATTGGTGAAGTTTTTTGACTTAAATTCGATCAAAGTTGATATGGCATGTGATAAAGCATTCTAGTCGGGTTGAATGTGACACGTATAGGATGCCATGTGGAAAATTAACTACTCAAAATTGAAAGACATGTCATTCACTCTTCCTACCCTAATTACAAAACATCCCCAATTTAACTTAAAACAATCCTAATCCATTAATATTTTCATTACAATTCTCTAACGAGATCATCATCTTTCTTCTTCTTCTTTCTCATACCCAAATGAACCCACATAATAAGCTTGGCCATTCTTCTCCTTTGTTCTTCTCTTCTCATCCTTATACCGGGCTTCACCGAATCTTTGTTCTTCTTTCTCATTCTCAAATGAACCCACACAATAGGCTTTAACATTCTTCTCGATTCTTCTTCTTTTCTCATCCACACACCTATAGACCACTTCCTCCTTTTCATTCTCTCCATATGTTGTGAACTCAAACCACTCGATGAACATTCAACCAAAAACCTAATCTCTAAAATTGAAAAATCCAAACCCCTTTATGTCAAAGCCTAATCCCCATATTCAAAATCTCAAACCCTAAGAGATGAACCTATTAGTGTAAGTGCCTAAGATCCAACCATGCTTAGAAGGGCTTGAGTTAACATATTATTATATTATTTATTTTAATAATAATAATAAAGAAGTCATTTTATTAATTCTTATATTTTATATTTGTAAATTCAACAAAATTAAATACAAGTCCTAGTATTGTCAAGAATGGACATTGACTATAGACGGATACACTTGTGTGTACTATGCTCAAGCTATATGATAGTAGTAGGAGATTTCACACCTATTGGCATTGTGATGCTAAAGCAAGCACTTAGGTGATTTATGCTAGAGAACATATAACTAGACTTGACTCGCTATGAGAACCCATTTGGTTTTAGTCTATGGGAATCTTATAGAGATGGGTACAAATGGTCCTTAGACTTGAATTTATCATGGTTATCTCATTGATGACTTATGCACTTTAACACTCATTTTAATTGAGTCATTAAAGGGTTGCACATGGGTGATTCATTGGGTGCATTAGAAATCTAATAGAGATATGTATATGACTAAGATAGGATATGTCATTCCTTGTATGCTAAAGAATTTCTCACATTGTACTTTGATAAATATACTGCTCGAGGAATCCGTAGCCACGGTAGGAATACACAAACGAAGCATAATTGGTTTATTCTAAGAGCTAAGACATTTAGGAATCGAAGAAAATTTATGTGATCATAATCAAACAAGACTTATAACCAAGTTTGAGATCACACTCGTAATAAGTTGACATGAGAACTGAATTTTATGATAACCATGCTCATAAAAGGTAATAATAAATTAATTATTTATTTTAAAAAATTGGATAGTCATGATGCCTTGCTAGTAGCAAGGTACACTCTTTCCTTCTCTTTTAAGGTTGTCATAACATTGCTCGAGCGGACACTACATAAATCGGAAAAAGGTAGAGCTACATAAATCGGAAATTAAACCAACTATGCTAGCACCCTATTGATTTTGATTTCTTTTTTATGGATACTTGGATTGCGTTGATCATTAATAACTCGTCCAAATTTTTTGATAAAAGAATTTAAATCTTTATTACAAGAGGCAATTGTTATGGCTATTATTTACATAGTTTTTGACTTAATTTTTATAGCATAATTTTAGATTTATAGTAAGTTTTTCTTTCATTTGCCTATTATTTTTATATTATCATTATTTTTAGTTATATGTATGTTTTTATCCTTAAATTATGTTTTATCTAATTTCGGGATCAAATTGGAAGCAAAGAAGATCGTAGGAAGGAAAGTGATTAAAAGAAGTCACGGTCATGACCAATTAGTCACGGGCGTGACCTTTTGCAATGCTTGTTTCACACGGCCATGACCAATTAGTCACGGGCGTGACTTTCATTAAGCCATGGTAGTGGCTTGTTTCACACAAGCGTGACCTTCCATTAAGTCACGATAGTGACTTGGCTCATATGGGTGTGACAATCGATTTCCTATTCTTCGAGATTACGGGTGAAGTTTGTAGAGTTTTAGCGAACGAAAAATGAAGATTGTGCAAATTTTGAGCGAATTTAATTTCAAAAAATAAGAGCTATAAATAGAAAGCAAAGCGAGTTTTGAGGTATTCGACCACCTGTGGAGATATGAATCATTCTCTCTATCATAGGGAAACTCTCTAAAAAAAAACCCGGAGATTTTTCAGCAGCCAGATTATTTTTAGCCATTGAAGACGGACAAAGAGACCGGGCAAGGCTTCGAGTTTAAGCCGAACGGAGGCCAACCTCAAGTCGAAGCAGAGATAACCCGGATTACTTCTAACTCTCCGATTTTATTGCTTTCAATTCTTGATTGTGAAAACATGGAATTTATTTTGATTAAATCGGTAGACGTTCATCTTTCAATTATGAGCTAAATTCTATCTTGAGAATTAACGGATCCCGTTATTGAATATGTTTAATTAAATTGATTATTTAGTTGTTCTTGCATTTAGTTACGTGATTCTAAAACTATTTACATATGAGTGTTTGGCCAACTATTATATGTATCGGTGGTATTGAGTTGAGATCGATCGATAAAACGCGATACTAGACTAAAGGACTATAGACACTAGGTTATCAATGAGAAATCTAATAATGCGGTGAAGAAAGATTAGTAAAAGGATTAAATAATTTAATCGAGTTTCGGATCTTCTAAATACTAAAGTTACGAAGGTCTTTAGTTACTTAATTTGGTGTCCAATTACTAATATTTGCAAGGATAACTATTTAAGAAATTTCAATAAAACATAGGATTTAATTGGTGAAGTTACTTCTCAAGAATGTTCTCATCTTGATTTCGGTTCTCTGTTTTGTTACAATAACGGTAGTTACTTTTCCTATTTTTTTATTTTCATATATTTTCACAACATAATCTGGTTAGAGTGTTTAGGGTTTCATTTAATTTTTTACTGTTTGCAATTGGAATTGAATTATTTTATTGCCCAATAACATCTCCTTCGGAATACGACCTTGAGTGACTCACTAGTATTACAATTACCTCGTATACTTCTAAGTATTGCTCGTTAAGTTTTAATACATATTTAGGCCCATCAAGTTTTTGGCATCGTTACGGGGAGGTGTAATGCGCTATTGTTTAATTTAATTCTAATTGCTTGTTGTATTTTGTTCGATCTTCGACATAGTTTTTGTTTGCTTACTAAAAAAAAAATCGCCATCATTTGTGGTTTACGACATCTTTCGATTAATTAAGTTTATTGATTTCTTTATTTACTTTTCTTCCTTTGCATGCATAGTAGACGCTCTTTAGGGAACGCGTTGGCGTCTTTCATCGATAATATACAACGAATTCGGAAGAACTAAGGACTTGGAGACGGAGGAAGTGATATAGAAGAACAGATTATCAAAGAAGCGGAAGAGGATGCACCGGTGGAAATCGAAGTCATGGGGGACCGACCGGTAATGATGAAGGAATATGCCGGATAAATCATTAGTGCGACTACTTTGTGCATCCGTTTGGGTGAGGTCTGTAAGAAATTATGAACTCAAGAACATCTATTATCACATGCTTGCCATCATTCTACGAAGTCCCTAATGAGGATCCCTTGAACTTCATAAGGGAATTTTATTCTACACTTGAAACTTTTCCACTACAAGGCTTGAATGAAAACTAACTTCGGATGAGATGTTTTCCCTACACACTGAAAGACAGAGCCAAGGCATCGCTCATGACTCTTCCACCCAATTCACTAGCCATATGGGAAGAAGTGTATGACAAGTTCATGTGTAAATTTTATTCCCATCAAAAGACTTCGAATTGAGAACAAAGATTGCCACATTTATGCAAATGGAGGGAGAGCAATTCCATGAAACTTGGGAGCGATTCAAGCTCTTGTTGGTCCAATGCCTACATCATCATTACCCATTACAACTCTCAAATCAATTCTTCTATGATGGATTGACACAACAATTTCAACACACTTGTGGATAATGCGGCGGGAGGTGCGATGGGAGAGAAAACAACTCAAGACACTTATGAGATCTGTTTGAAATGTTGGGAGCTAATTCTCAACAAAAGAGTGTCGGATGAAGGAAAGCAAGCGCCCATGAGGTTGGTGTAAATCACGAAATGGCTACACAATTAGCGAAACTAACTAAGCAAGTTAAGTTGCTTGCCACACGAAGACCTCAAGGCACACCAAATCATGAGGTATGTGGTTTTTGTGGAGTATATGGTCATGGAGCTAACATTTGTTCTTTCTCTAGTGACTCTTATATCGGTGATGAAGAACAAGCTTTTGTAATGGATAGTTTCCATCAAAGGTTTAGGAATGATCCTTTCTTTAATGCATACAACCCCTGGTCGGAGAAATCATCCAAATTTTACATGGAAGAACAACCCATCGACACATCCACAACAACGACCATAATACCAAAGCTACCGAAGTCTAACCAATTCCAAGGGCAACCATCGAATCAAAATTTAATGAAAAAGCCCCCACTAGAAGATACCCTACAAGCATTTATTCAAGCAAGTACTCGAATCAAGAGGCTAATAAGAAACGATTTGATTCACTGGAAGCATCCTTAAGGAGGGTGGAGACCTAAGTGGGTCAATTGGCAACACAAATACGAGTCTTAACAAAAAGGCAAATTGCCTAGCCGGCTAGAGCAAGCCAAATCCATTACAATCTTGAGAAGTGGTAAGGTTATCAATAAAAAATTAAAAGATAGTAAAACTCACAAAATGTTGCGGGATGCGAGTATTCAAAGAGGAAAACGTGAAGAAATAATGAACGAGAGAAGTAGAATATGAACGAGTGCACAACATCGGGTGAAGGAAATCAACATGGCCAAGACTTCGGGGGCAAGGATGGAGAAGACCTAACAATTCACGCCCGTGATGTCCGGAGCTCACCACCCGACACCCCGAGGGGTCACGCCCGTGAGGATTTCGCTTACCGGCGTGACACACCAATAAGTCATGCCCATGAGCATTTTACTCACCGAGTGTGATACACCGATGAGTCACGTACGCGAGGATTTCGCTTCCCGGCGTGACCCACCAACGAGTTACCCTCATGGTTCATCAACGACTCACGCCGGACATAATTTATCCCCCCACCGAGACACCCAAGAGAAGAAGGTAGCTTCTATCCCTAGACTTCATAAAGCAACAAACCCTTACAAGCGACTAATTCCATATCCAAGCCGGCTTAGAGACGCTAAACGGGATGAGCGGTTTTCGACTTATATATGATGCAATCTAAGGTAAATATTAACCTTCCTCTCGTTAGACATTTCGAAACGTACTTGAGTATGTCAAGTTCTTCAAGGATCCGAGCACCAAGAAAAGGAAATTTGAACCTAATGAAAAGTTATTGTCTCGGAGGTGGACGAGTGCAATTTTGTAACATAAATTACCACCAAAAATGAAGGATTCATGTAGTTT